CCCTAGCCTATCTACCATAGGAAAATGAGCGAAATCGAATTTTCGACCCTTGCCGCGAAATTAAGAATTTGTCTGATTTTTACTGGCAGGCACTCTTAAATAATTATGTATAAAATGCATGCAAGGAATTCAATGGAGGATAAAGGCGCAAAGTAACTAAGTGGAAATGCATGGAGCAATATTTCAAACAAAATGAGCCCTTCATTCTTAACAGAAACAATGAAGAAATGATAAATGATGCATTGAACAGCTTTATTCGCTGGAAAAGTTGAACCATTTACAGACTTCAAGAAAGTTGGTCAAATCTCTGTAAAATGTCCACATTTCCTTTGTAAATTACAATCTCTGTAAATATGCACACTTCCAGAGATTTTGTTATTTCTATAAATAGTCTGTAAATTTTAGTAGATGTTTCACTTTGATATCGCATAAAATGTCCATGTAATGTTGCTATTTTTCTTGTAAATGTTTTGTAAAATTTACAGACATGTTGTAGCAGTTAAATAAATCTCTGTAAAATCTCCACATTTTCTCTGTGAAAAGGGTAGGAGAAAAAATCTCTGCAAAATCGAAAACATAAAATCTCATAAAATAATATGTCTGTAAAATTCGAGTTCAAATTATATCATAAAATGTTATTAAAATCTGCATATTCATTGTTTGTAAGGGAATTTTATTGTCTTAACTGTTTGCCCATGTCAGCAGCTACCGTTAACATAGCAACAGCATTTTTGATGTGCTGTTGAAGACAAATTTAGTGTTATTTTTTAATAATGTATCATGCAGTGTCGGTTTTCTTGAACAGAAGAAAAGCGTATCTTTTTTTTATAATTCTTACACTTTCATTTTTCCACTTATTATAAGTTCAACTTCCAACGCTTTCTACATCAATCAGCTGTAGATGACGGTGGGTTCTGTCGAAACATGTTAAATGTTTTGGCGTTTTCTATAAATGTTTGTGAATGTTAATTCGGGTTGATTTTTTTGAACCATCATCGTGCTTTTACCAGCGGGACGGTATAAATTTGTTTGTGCGTTTGAGGGTTATCAAGCATTTGTGGTGAAAAAGTGCCAAAAAATATATACATGTATATTTAGCCATTATCACGGTTCTTGATTCTTGATAGTAATATGGAAAATTGTCTGAAAATCATGGTGGGATTGATTATTAAATTGCCTATGAAGTGAAAAGTGTTTTGGTGTTACTCTATCGCTTGTTATGTCTACTTTTCGAAATTACCAAAAGCGAATAATTTTAAAGAGAGAAAAATTTGACTTTTTGCTGCCCAAAGTTCGAATTTGACAACCGATAGTGGGTCCATTTTGCGCGCGGCCAAAACGAATGTATTACAAGGTCGTGACGTAGGAAATTGTTCAGACGACTTCATCTCTACTTTCCCGACTCTTGTACGTTGGAACTTTCACTAGACGACATATCCATCACTATCTGACATTTTACTTACAAAAAAATGGCGAACTTTTAAGAAATCTCCTTTGGCAATTCACGTAACTACAGAGGCGAAGTAGGGTAAACAAATCGCTGGAACAATTTCCTACGTCATCCCTTGTAAACTCGTTGCCAGTCTCCGGAACCACAGTTTTGCCATACTGAGCTCACTATGGGCGGCAAAAAGTCCGATTTTTCTCTTTGTAACATTATTCGCTTTACGCAGTTTCGAAAAGTAGACATAACAATGTCGAGGAAAAGGTTGTTGTTATTCATCGTGGTAGATGCAATAATAAAGTGTATTATCGTTTG